TAGACCAAATCGAAAGGATGAACTTTGAAAAAAGAAATCATATGCATCAAATTGAATATAGCTCCAAATACTTTTATTAGAGATACGAATAATATTGCACAGCTCGATTATAGACATCAACAGAATAAGCAAAAGCGAAAGATTAACAAATTCAGTTTAGACCTAACATACAAGTAATGAAATTGAAAGGGAAACTGGCTATTTCTCCAACTCACTATTAAAGGGACTCCACCAAATAGCTTGTCACCAACAAACCATATAGAACAAATTCAAAGCGCTTAATGGAACAGCGGATAGGAATCACCATATAATGAAGAAACACGAGGGTTACAATTCTCTCACCGTTCATCAAGATTCAGCAATACCTTCTTCCTCGTCCTCGTACTCAAGCTCATCATCAACCACAGCATCCTGGTACTGCTGATACTCGGAAACAAGGTCGTTCATGTTGCTTTCAGCCTCGGTGAATTCCATCTCGTCCATGCCTTCACCAGTATACCAGTGCAGGAAAGCCTTCCTCCTGAACATAGCAGTGAATTGCTCGCTGACACGCCTAAACATCTCCTGAATAGAAGTTGAGTTACCTATGAAGGTTGATGCCATTGAAAGGCCCTTAGGAGCCATGTCACAAACACTGGACTTAACGTTATTTGGAATCCACTCCACAAAGTAGGAGGAGTTCTTGTTTTGAACATTGATCATTTGTTCATCCACTTCTTTGGTGCTCATCTTGCCCCTAAACATAGCTGAGGCTGTAAGGTAGCGACCATGGCGTGGATCTGCAGCACACATCATATTTTTGGCATCCCACATCTGTTGGGTGAGTTCAGGAACAGTAAGTGCACGGTACTGCTGAGACCCACGAGAGGTGAGAGGCGCAAATCCAACCATAAAGAAATGCAGGCGAGGGAAGGGAATGAGGTTGACTGCAAGTTTCCGAAGATCAGAGTTAAGTTGACCAGGGAACCTCAGGCAGCATGTGACCCCACTCATGGTTGCAGAGATAAGGTGATTCAGATCACCAACTGTCAATAATGGTCACCAAGTGAAGCAAATCAGCAAACAGTCATAAAAAGGAAATTGCAAACTATGTTTGAAGACTCCATGGACTTCTGAGAAATGGAAACAATAACGTATAAACTGACCATTGCAAAAAGGTCAAGCTTAATAACATGAAATTTCTTTGTGACTTACTCAAAACAGAACAATCCAGACAACGAAATAAAATCAAGCACACAATTGGGATTGTAAGCAGAACTGGGATTTTAAATTCCGTAAAATATTGTTTGGCAGAACTGAAACTATGGTATGGAAACAAGTACAATTAAACAAAAATGTGTAACTCAACGTCAAATCTTGCTCACAGCACATAGCTTATGTCCAACCAAAACAGATATTAGAATTTAACCCTGAAAACCAGCAATAATTTAGAGAACCCATTTCCACATGTTTATAGTCATATTATGATTTATATCCCCCAAAAAATATACAGGCAATAGTTAGACATGCAAAGAACAAATAATATCTCCACAAATCTGATTTTGAACTTAAATACAGTCCAAAGTGTACACCAACTAGCATGCATGTGAGTAGTTTAAATTCACAGGAAGTATTAAAAAACTATGATAAAGAACTAGTGTCTCCGTAGAAGTAGATAGAAGACTTACAGCTTGGAGTAGTTAACTTAAGAGTCCTGAAACAAATATCATATAAGGCCTCATTATCAAGCACCATGCACTCATCAGCATTCTCAACAAGTTGGTGAACTGAAAGGGTGGCATTATATGGCTCAACAACTGTGTCGGAAACCTTTGGTGATGGGAAAACAGAGAAAGTGAGCATCATTCTGTCAGGATACTCCTCCCTGATCTTAGATATCAGCAAAGTTCCCATTCCAGAGCCAGTTCCTCCACCAAGTGAATGGCACACTTGAAATCCTACGGAACAAAGAAGTATATAATCAATCTAAAGATAACTGGCA